CAAGCTTGCCGTCTTGTCTTCTCCACTTTAGCTTAGGGTTTATGGTTTATGGTTTAGGGTTTAGGGTTTAGGGTTTAGGGTTTAGGGTTTAGGGTTTAGGCCTTCGGACAGTTCATACCCTAAGCCCCGAACCCTCAACTTGGGCTTCTTTGGATGTAAGCCCAAAAAGCTCTCATGCAGCTGGCACTCCTGTTGCCCTGAAGCCTGATCCCAGAGGAATGACACGTAGGGGCCCAGGTAGCTAGCTGGTTGCTTTTTGTAGTTGAGCCTAAACCCTAAACCCTAAATCCTAAACCCCAAACCTAAACCCTAAACCCTAAGGGATCAGAAGCTATCCGAGTTGAAAGAACCGTTGAATGAGCCGGAAAATAACTGGCTGCCAGCCAAGGGTTCTGCGAACTCAGCTCAAAGCCTGAACATCCGCATACACCCGAAGCTACTAATTGCTTAAGAGCCGCCAAAAAATTGAAAAATATTCTTCCTTATAAGGGTACTATAGGGATTATTGTTTATTTTGTTTAATTCTTTTGGGGTTCTTAAGCAAATAGGAGGAAGCCGTATGCTTGCCAGGTCCTCGTGGACCTATCTGCTGTGCGGTTAGATGAGTTTCAGCAGGTCTTCACCTCCGAGGAGAGGGGGGGGTGGGGGTGGGGGGTTCGGGGTTCCACCGTTATCTTGGTAGCCCAGTGGTCCCCTTGACCCTTTTGTTGGGTTTTGGGTCCCTTATCACATTATGGTTGTATGTTTTCAAAAGAGGTTCTGGGTACACGCATAGAAAAATGTGACAATAGTTTTTGGCAATACATTGAAATAGTTTGGCAATAGTTTCTGTGTTGCAATATTGTCAATAATTGTTTGACAATTGTTTGGCAATAGTTTGTTAATATAAACATTTGTTCAACAATTGTTTGGCAAAAGTTTGTTAATATAAACAATTGCTTGGCAATAGTTTGTTAATATAAACAATTGCTCAACACTTGTTTGGCAATAGTTTGTTAATCTAAACAATTGCTCAACAATTGTTTGGCAATAGAACAAGTGTTAACAATTGTTTGTCATTTTTGAAAATTACTAAACAATTGTTAAACAATTGTTTGCCATTTTCGGAAATTGCTAAACAATTGTTAAACAATTGTTTTGCCATTGTTGGAAATTACTAAACAATTGTCAAATAATTGTTTGCTATTTTGCCTGCCTCAAAACAATTGTTGGGTGTCCTGGGAATGTATCCGACCATGAACCTTTTTGAAAACATTCAATACTATGGTTACTGGGCTACTAAGTTATGCGTTTTAGGGCTTAGTGCCTAGAGTTGTGGCTCCAAAAACGCGGATCCCAGTATGGCACCAGACCGCCTTCAGCCTGGGTGCGTCTAAAGTTGTTGTTGCTAGGCATCCCAGGGGGCCCTTGGGACATTTTGCAGTTTCTCTTATTGGGTCTACCTGGAGTCTCTAATGTAGTTCTTTTTTTGGGTTAGTTATAAGAGATTCTAGTATACTACCCCAAACAGGTACTACATAGGAGCCTTTAGGCAAGAGATTCGCCCCTAAACCCTAAACCCTAGTCTGAATCTTTTTCAGAGGGTTTTAGGAGCCAACCTTGGGTCAAGGTTTCAAGGGTTTGGGCGCACTACGATGGAGATATCAAAATTTCGGACGATGCGTTTTAAGCAGGGGTTTAGGGTTTAGGGTTTAGGGGTTTAGGGTTTAGGGGTTGAGACGAGCAGTGCAATGCACCCAATGCCAAGATTGCAGTCTTGACTGTCTGTGGCAATCGTCGACCTCGAAGTGGTATGGACGGCACGGAGTTTCGCCGAGTTTCCTGTAAACCCTGATTCAACCCTAAAGCCTGAACTCCAAACCCTACTTGTAACCCTAAACTCCAAACCCCAAAAGCCTTAACCGTGCCTCGGAGGACAACGCCTCGTTTGAGGCTGTTCTTGAGAAAGATCGACAAAGACGTCGCGAGAAGGAATGGTGGGCTCCTGTGTGGCACATGGTCCCTTAAAGGCTCGTACCCCTTACTGTGGGGTTTAGGCTTTAGGGTTTATCTGGAATGCCTGGGGTCCCAACCTACTTAATTTTATAGCCCCGTTTTGGGGGTCTAAGAATCCGCAATAGGGTTTAGGCTCTAGGGTTCAGGGTTTAGGGTTTATGGGTGCACGGATCCTTTGCGGGTGGGTTGTCTGGGTTGTTGATCAGGGCTTCCTTGGGTCCAGGGAGGACGTGTGAGGATGGCTTTACCTGGAGTCTTTCATGTAGTTCCTTGTTGGGTCATTTATAAGAGATTCTAGTATACTACCCCAAAAAGGTACTACATAGGAGCCTTTAGGTCGAGTGAATGTCATTCGATGTAGTTGAAGATTGACTTGGTCCAGGGTCCCCGATACCGCAAGTCCTACATCCGAAATTCGAAGCCTATCCAAGTCTGTGCAGTTATTGCAAGGTGTAGGTGAGTGTATGTATGTCTTTTGGGGGGATACTAACCCTGCTTCATATAGCATCAGATATATATATATATATATATGTATATATATATATATATATGTGTGTGGGTGTGTGTATGTGTGTATTATGTATGTATGTATGTATGCATGTATGTATGTATGTCTGTATGTATGTGTACATATATATATATATATAATTGTCCCCTATATATATATATATATATATATGAATTTGAGGTTTAGGGTTTAGAGTGAGCACTGCGCTTTGCAATCAATGGTCGGTCTTTGAAGAAGCAGCGCAATACGGTTAGGGCCTACGAAGCCTTTAGGGCTTAGGGTTTAGGGTTTGGGGTTGTGGGAGTATGGTTTAGGGTTTAGGGTTTCGGGTTGAGCGTATGACTCCCCAGCGTCGCGCCGTTGAATCTAAGGTAGAGGGCCCGGAGCTGAAGCACAACACGAGCTTTGGCAGGTTTTTGCTGCGTTGATCAGCTAGGATTTGGGTTTGGGGTTTAGGGTTTCAGAAAAGGACGCCGTGGAGGCCTGCATTTTGTGGGTTCAAGAAAACATAGGTTTTCAGGGACTGCATGGAGTAATGTTGCACTGTCTTTAGTATGCCCCCCCCCCCCCCCCCCCAAACCTCTATAAACGCATGGCGCGGCGACCCCCCAACAAATTGGGGGGGGGGGGGAACCGCCCTCAGGGTCTCAAGCTTTTGGGACCTCAAGGCCTGAAGCTTTCCAGCCTTTACGATTGCTGGAGCCCAAGGCCCTGAGGGCCTCAAGCCTTTCTGCGTAAGGCCTTATATAACCCTAAACACAAACCCGTAAAACAAGTCATCTTGTGTATTATAGAGGGTGGCCAGACAAACTGTCTGGCCGGCCCGCGGGCCACCTATCACAAAATTTATTTGGGGCCTCGTTTCGTAATGAAATTCCATAAGGCTTTACATGGAACTGGCCGGGCTTAGATGTTCCGTGCTCTGGCTCTTTAAGATTCCTGGAGCCCAAGGCCCTCAGGGCCTCAAGCCTTACTGCGTAAGCCCTTAACCCAAAACACAAACCATTAAAAACCAAAAACACGTCCGGATAAACACATGTGATAATGGCGGGTACCCGGGTACCCTAAACAAACTCGGTTCGCAGAATAAATTTTGGAAACTTGTGATTATAGACCCTCCTTACACTAAAGTCAGTCCAACATTCTGCTGTCGGAAGACATAGGCTTCCAGGGATTGCTTGTCTGCAATTATGTCTGGGATCTAACGTGGCAATATGATGACTGATTCCCATGCTAGGCTGATGGGGGGGGGCAATTTTATTTTAATTTTTGATTCCCCCCCTCCCCCCCTCAACAGCATTAAATTCAGAGTCTGAAATCCCCTTCTTGTGTCGCTGCAAGAATCAAACTGCAGAACCTATAGCCATGGCTCCCTTTCTAGTATCCGCGCTCCATATTAACGCCCAGCTAACTCCGTGTACTTCGTTCTATGATGTAGAGTACCAGAGTCCCTCGTCTTGCCTAAGCCAGTATGGTAATGATGATTCTCCCCTGGCTCAGGTACGGCGCTCAGTGGTGGCATGTAAACCATCTCTCCCAAAAGGAGAAGCACAAGGTTCACGAGATCGTCATGGATGGCCATGAGAAAATAGCTGTCAAGTGCAGCGACGTTCCACCCGCGCACGCAAGTCGCCCCAAGAAAACCGGTAGCATCAAGATGTGCAACAACGGCTGGCTCATGGTCGTGGATCCCCGCACAGGCTTGATTCTGACCATTCACAAGATGGTGAATCCGGAGAAGAACGACGTCGCCTTCTCCGCCACGAAGCAGACTCTGTCACTCATGCCGAACATTGACTGCGTCGTGTATGACCGGGCCTGCATCTTGCCGAGAGCTGCCAAAGTCGCTGATTTGGCAGGAAACCTGGCCTTCTGCGCGATGCTGCAAGTGCATGTTTGCCCAACAGGAAATGCACCCTCCGGCCAACCGCAAGCCCTCGCCTGAGCACAGAGCAATCCGTGGCTCGCAAAGTATCCACTATCCATTTTTGCACGTCAGGGCTTGACCGTCGAGTTGAAATCTCCATCGCCCTTCTAGCGTGCCATCACTCTATCACTAAGGTGATGTGGTGCCCGACGGGGTGAGGGTCTTGGCCGTTCGATGAGGCAGAGTTGGCTTTTGAAGGGCTTCCTTGGACGAGTGCTTGCAAAACTGCTCAGCACAGGTGGCTTTTTTCGCTCAGCAACCTGAGCATGTGAGGCGGGAATGTCGTTTTGTCCATTGCTTTGGGCTTTGTCGCGCAGCTTCGCTTGCGCTCGAGCATGCGCCTGTTTGCGATGCATTTTGTTGCCAGGTGCAGTCCTGGTGGCTTGTTGCCAGAGCCGGCATGCGAGAGCCTATAGTATAGCAGGGGTCATCAAAGATTATGTTATCGGTGTGTGTTATCCTGCGCCGGGGTTGTGTCACAGGTAATGGAAGCTGAGTGTGCAGATTCAACATCAGCGGTGCCTGTCTGCGCAACGTCGTGTTTTGATTTCGTTGTCTAGCGTGCCTGGAATGCAGGAGTGCCAGGAGGTTAAAGCCCAGTTGGAGATCAAGGAGGGAACACTCAGGCTCCAGTTCATTCATCTTGTGCCACGAAGCCGCCTGCCAAGGCCTGGACTTGAGTGCATCTCTGCCATCGCAGCTATTGCTGTTTTTTCCAGCATGTCATAGGTAGATGAATCCGCGACGCATGGCGCCATACATGTGACGAGACTACAAACACGCGACGTCAGGAACATGAAATAACACAAAAAACACAAAACGCGCAAATACTCGAAAAGTCTAGGCCTTCAGCACGTCCCACTCTCTCAGGGTTTAAGGTTTTTGGGGTTTCATTATACTTTTTTTCTTGGGGGGTGGGAGCAGGTTTTTAGAGTCTTGAAGCCCGATATCCAGCGCACCGTCTTTGCGTGTTTTACATATTTCAGAGGATTGACTGCAGGGTTCATACCATTATAATGTTCTCACTCGAGACGGGTTTAAGGGAGGTAGGTGCCTAGGGAACCTTAGGAAGCTTCGGGAGTCTTAGGGTTGTGGTAAGATTGGTCCGTATATTTGTATTACATGGGCTGGCCGTTGGGGTTTGGTTCCCGAGAACCCTACTATACAGGGTTTTGGGTATCACCGAATCCCATCATGGCATTTGACCCCAAACCCTAAACCCTAAACCCTAACCCTACATGCCCTCGGAGCCATAGAAGCCCTACTGCATTATGGGTACAGAACCTTGTGAAGCGTGGGCAGCAACGTCCGGGCTTCGTGTTTAGGATTTCGGGTTTAGGGTTTTGGGTTTAGGGTTTCGGGATTAGGGTTTCGGGTTTAGGGCTTCGGGGCACCACAACCTTTTTAATGGCGGCCTGCGTTGCCTCGGTTCTGGCTGTGCTAGAAATCGGGTTCCCGGTTTCAGTTTCCGGGCTTAAGAACCCCTTAGGGTTGCACGCTAAGCCCTGGAATTGTACTCTTGGGTTTGGAGACTCTCTTGGAGACCCTTTTTAGGGAAAAGGTGGCCAAACCGGGAGTTGATAAGCGGAGCCCTTGAGGGGTACAGCCATAGGTGCAACCCCTCAACCCTAAACCCCTAAACCTCATTAGCCCTAAACCCTAAGACCTACACCCCAAACCCCAAAGCCCAAACCCCAAACCCCAAACCTCAAACCCAAACCCCAAACCCCAAACCCCAAAACCCAAATCCCAAACCCCAAACCCCAAGCCCCAAGCCCCAAACCCCAAACCCCAAGCCCCAAACCCCAAACCCCAAACCCCAAACCCTAAACTAAAGGGCTCCTCCCTTCAAGGAAGTGTAAGCAGCAAGCCCTGGACTTTGACAAAGTGGAGGTGGCCGCTGGGCCGCAAGAGCAGGATGGTACCTGGGGGTACCTTCTGTTTAGGGTTTCGGGTTTAGGGCTAGGGTTTAGGGTTTAGGGTTTAGGGTTTAGGGTTTAGGGTTTAGGGTTTAGGGTTTAGGGTTTAGGGTTTAGGGGTTGGGGGTTAGGGTTTAGCGTTTTGGGTTTTGGGTTTTGGGTTAAGGGCCAGGGTTCAGGGTTCCGCGTTTAGGGTTTCGGGAGTATGCCTGTGGAATGGGGGAAAAAATGTACCTTAAGTTTGGGGCATCTTTTCCAATCTAGGTGCAGCGTCTTCGTTTGACCCGTCGTTGCTGTTGTTTTTTGTTTTCGTTGGCGGATGGTAGAGCCTACCTATACCAGCCTTCATCGCCTTCATGGGAGTATGTGCCGTGGTTATCGGAATATTTAGCCTTTTCTTGTGATACAAGGTTACTCTAGGGTAGGGATGCCTGTCCGAGCAGCTCGCTTGGCTATACACTGGTCTAAGAACTAGGGGTCCCTGATTAGGGTTTGGGGTTTAGGGTTTAGGGCTCCCGGAGACCGACACTGCTGGGGTCAGGGCTGGCGCTTAGGCCCTTCCAAACCCCTAATTAAAGCTGTTTACCAACTTTAGCCCAAAGACTCAAAGGACTCGAACGGTTTTCTCATGCCGTATGTGCTAATCATTCCCCTAAAACAGTGCACCCGTACTCCAGCGTTTAGGGTTTTGATTGAGCACAGGGCAGCGCACCCGCTGCACATGTAGCTCTAGCGGACTCTAGCGCTGGCGCGGCATTTGCGATCTGCTAGCCTGCATGATTTTGTTTCTATACAACTCAAGGAATAATGTACGGATAGTCTGCCGATTTTCAATAGCACTATACTGTTGGATTCCAGTCACTAAAGGAAAGTCGCCCCGATCAAGACTGCAATGGCCGAGCAACATGGGAAAGTTCGAAAAGGATGAAACCCGAAAATCCTCAACCCTCGACCCTAAACCCTACCTAAAGGCTCCTATGTAGTACCTTTTTGGGGTAGTATACTAGAATCCCTTCTAACTAACCCAAAAAAGGAACTACATTAGAGACTCCAGGAAAGACCAAGAAACCTAGGTCCAGCGGCCGGGAACCATCATGACCTGCGAGTTCCAGGCTCTGTCTTCTGACAGAGGGGATGGGTTTGGGGTTTGGGGTTTAGGGTTTAGGGTTTAGGGTTTGGGGTTTAGGGTTTGGGGTTTGGGGTTTGGGGTTTGGGGTTGGGGGCTTAGGGGTTTGTAGGGTTATCATGCCTAGTTAGTGCACATGACACGTGAAACCCTACGCTGAACCCTAGAACTTTGTGCAAATGCCCGACAGCCTTCCAGCAAACGCCCTGAGTCACCCCGAGCTTTTTCTAGGCCTTGGGCTTTTGCTGGGCGAGGTTTGAGGAGTTCGGGGTTTTGGGTTTGAGGCCTATTTGGGGCTTGGGATCTGAAAGCATCCCAGAGTCCCAGAAGGTCTGGTCTTATCTTCGACTGCGTCTGTTCACGAGGTGTAGCGATGCATGTGGGGGCTTACGAAAATAAGAGGCCCTTAACATAGACCACCAATACAGTAGCATTCCTGTATAGTAAGGACACCAAAAAGGTACCACTTATTCGGAAACCCCCACGTTTGAATGTCGGGGTTTAGGCTTTGGGGCATGAAGGGTTCCAATTGTTTTCGTTAGGGTTTAGGGTGTAGGTTGGTGGCCGTCGTCGTTGTAGAGGCCAGCCCCACTTTCCTAGCCACTTTCCTGTTCTGGTGCAAGTCGTGGCTAACTCTTGTTGCTTCTTTTGAGCTTCCATCGTCAGCCCCTCCCTAGACTTTCAACAACAAATGGAGCTTAATTGTTGGGTCCAGTTGTCTAGTTCTCTTCTTTTGCGGGTATCTGAGTTACTCTGTATACGTAGAACCCAATCCTGAACCCTTAAACCTTACACCCTTACGCCCTCTGTTCAGCCCTAGGGCCTTATAAGAGCCATCTGGGACACTTAGCTTACGACCCTAAGCCCTAAGCCCTAAACCCTAAACCCTAGACCCTAAACCCTAAACCCTAAACCCTAGGCTCCTACAGCACGAGCTCCAGGCGAGAAATACCTTGTACTTCAAGCCCAAAGGGGAACTTTCCGCAGCTGCCGAGAAGCCAGCCATTGAGTGTCGGAATACACGCTGCCAGACTTGTTTGGGTCTACAGGGTTTAGGGCTTAGGGTTTAGGGTTTAGGGTTTAGGGCTTTTTGGTCCTGGAGTCTCTAATGTAGTTCCTTTGTGGGTTAGTTATCGGGGGGGTTCTAGTATGCTACCCCAAAAAGGAAATGCATAGGAATCCTTCAGGTACAGGGTTGGGGTTTGGGGTTCAGGGTGTATAGGGTTAGGGTTTAGGGCAGAGGATTGAGGGCAGCTTCAGACGCCACGGTTTAGGGTTTAGGGTTTAGGGTTTAGGGTTTAGGGTTTAGGGTTTAGGGTTTAGGGTTTAGGGTTTAGGGTTTGACGGAGGACGCCTAAACAGAAGCCCCTCGCCTTATACTTGAGCTGCCTGTAAAGTTTGGTTCTTTTCTTGGCTTTCCCCGGGACTTAGAGGGAGTTTTGTTCCAATTAACCCCTAAACCGCAAGCCTTCAGCCCAAAGCCCTAACTCCTACCCTGAATCCTGAGCCTTCCACCCTAGACACTGAGCTGTTTTCCTTGCGCCACCCTAAACCCAAGCTTTATTTCCTAAGCCTTGCAAGCCCTAAACCCGGGAACTCAACAAGTAGCTTGGCGCAGTCCCTTTCTAACCTTCTGCAGCGCATGCCCTTCAGAATCGTACTTGCCCACAGCAACCCCCCCGCTTCTCGAACAGGGTGCAAAACCATCATCCGCCAATCCTCAAACCGAGGCCCTCACCCTAAACAACCCTCAGCTTGGGTGGGTGGGGGGAACCTAAACAATGTTGGGAGTCTCCTAGGTAGGACCCAAGGTTGCGGTTTCCGATCAACAAATAGAGCCGATCTGGTGATCGTCTAGGGCACCCCCCCTCGCCCCTTCGCCCCCCCACCCTGCCCCCCTCCTCCTCCCCCCACCCCCACCCTGCTCTGAGGCTTCACCTCCCAGGAGCAGTCAGACCTCGACGAGACCCTCATGGCCGCAATCGCTGCGCGCCATGCGCGCGAGAATGGGCTGCAGCGTCTTAGCTGGAGCCCAGGAAACTAGGACCCGTTTTGGGTTTAGGGTTTAGGGTACGTAGGACCCGGAGTAGGCACATTTGTCCTTTTTTGGGGGCTGTGTTTCTGCTAGAATTCCCTTAAAACTTGAAACCCAAAAAGGGGACCTTTTTTATCCCTAGGCTACCCCTGGGTCTAGGGACTGTAGCAAGGAGGCTCGCATGTTCATCCGGTTTCGGGGCTTTTTTAAGGCCCTCAACCATACATCTCTAGAATTCCACCAAAACCTTGCTTCTTCCGGGATTATCACGATTCATGGTCCCTCACGCGGAAACTCTCAGGGCTTATGTTTCGTTCATCTTGCAGCTTGGGCGCATTCTTTGTCCATAGAGGTGCTGGTGTATTAGCTATTAAGGCAGACGGGCCACAAAGGTAGCTATTAGGGCAATACACCCTAAACCCTAAACCACAGCTCACTTCAAACGTGGGAAGCCGAAGTGCTTGTCCTGGTGAGCCCGCCGAGGCTCGCCGATGTCCTAGCCAAGATGCTGAAGGAGACCCTAAACCCTAAACCCTGAACCCTAAACCCTAAACCCTAACCCCTAAGCCCTCAGCCGTAAACCCTAAACCTTAAACCCTAAACCCTAAACAGACAGTGCCGACGCTAAACCCTGAACCCTATAGAACTCTATGTCCCAATCCCCTTCTGAAACTCTAAGTCCCCCAAATATCATCCCCTCAATGCCTAAGGCAGCCGCTGCCAGAGGTCATTTTTTGAATAGGGGAGGGGGGGTGGGGCAGTCGAGTTTGGGTTTTGAGGTTTAGGGTTGCCTAGGGTTGCCGCAAGAAGGTTGGAAGACTGTGGTGCATGCAAGCGCGATTTGTGGCTTCCATGGCGTCGGTAACGACCTCCTGTGATGCCTTACGCCATGCCTTCCCGCCTGTATTCTCAACAAGACGCTGAGCCCCATGCAGAACCTAAGCCCGACGACCTTCATCACAGCAGCCACGGAAGCACTCCAGGGTGTATAGGGCTCCCTAAACCCTAAACCCTAAACCCTAAATGAGGGAGCCTTCTGACACACCCTAAAGCAGGACGGCACCTTCTCCATCGCTGCCCTCCACAACTACGGCCATCTTCGGGCTGCTTCTGGGCCTGCGGGTTTTATGTAGGGGTTTTGGGGGGTTCGGGGTTTTAGGGTTTAGGGTTTAGGGGTTTTAGGGTTTAGGGTTTAGGGTTTTCGATTTAGGGTTTTAGGGTTCGGGGTTTTAGGATTTAGGGTTTTGGGGTTCGGGGTTTTAGGGTTTAGGATTTAGGGTTTTGGGTTTAGGGTTTAGGGTTTGGGGCCTAAAACGCTGAACCCTAAACCCCAAGGTAATTACTATGTAGGGCCTTCACCATGGCAGGGGGAGAGGAAGTCAGGGCTGCCAGAGGGTTCAGGGTTAAGGCGCTCAAAAGTCCCGAACCCTAAGCCCTAAGCCCTAAACCCTAAACCCGTAGCCCTTATAACCCCTAAACCCTAAACCCTTAACCCTTATAAGCCCTAAACCTAAACCCTAAACCCTAAACCCTAAACCCTAAACCCTAAACCCTAAACCCTAAACCCTAGCCCTAAAACCAAGGATTAAGAACGAGAGCCGCCATGAGAGCAACGCAAGGTGGGAGGCCGCTTGGAGACGCCCATCAACCAGCGAAACTCCCAGGCTAAGAGCTGCTCACACATCAGGGTTTAGGGTTTGGGGTTTAGGGTTTGGGGTTTAGGGTTTGGGGTTTAGGGTTTGGGGTTTAGGGTTTGGGGTTTAGGGTTTGGGGTTTGGGGTTTAGGGTTTGGGGTTTAAGGTTTGTGGTTTAGGGTTTGGGGTTTAGGGTTTGGGGTTTAGGGTTTGGGGTTTAGGGTTTGGGGTTTAGGGTTTAGGGTTTAGGGTCCTTGGGTTTAGGCTCCTTGCGGGGTTTAGGGAAGAGTGTCACCAAGCCCCTAGTTCTTTCTCATCTTTGGGAGAATCCACAAGGCGGGGCGGCGATAGCCGGTTTAGGGTTTAGGGTTTAGGGTTAGGGATTAGGGTTTAGGGTTCAGGGTTCAGGGTTTGGGGGAAAGACATGTTGGCACCAGCTGGTTTCACCAAGAGTCACCGGCTCGAAGGAGCATCGTCCCTAGCAGCTGCACTCAATTTACCATGTCTACAGCAACATTGGCCCGGGTCTTGCATCAAAAGAAGCCGCAAAAATTAGGGTTTAGGGTTTAGGGTTTAGGGTTTAGGGTTTAGGGCCAGTGACCCCACTAAAAGCAGACGAGCCCACTAAATCCTGACAAAACCCACCCAAACTTAGCTTCAGCTCAGAGTTCTAGCGCTGAGAATTACGAAACTCGCGCGGGCAGGGCGGAGAGTTAGAGTCTGTTTTTGTGCCTCGCTGCGCCAAACCTTTAACGTAGGTAGTTTAGGGTTTTGTCGCCCTAAGCCCGAAAACCCCTCAACCAGAGAAGCAGCTGTCAGCCGAAATCCCCTGAAAGGCCGCCGGCTTCAACTTTGTTAGTACGCCGGCGATGGTCCCTGGTGAGAACGGCTTCTCGCCGATCATGACTTTTGGGAAGATCGTGCCTCGGTCCGATCATTGAGGGTTGAGAGCTTTGGCCCTGAGCCCTTTTGAAGCCAAAGCCCTCAAACTTAAGTTCTACACGACCTGAAGGGTTTAGGGTTTCGGATTTTTAGATTAGGCCCCTAAGCCGTATACTCTGATCCCCCCCAACAAAAAAAACACAAGATGCCAAAGCCCCAGGCCCTAAGCCCCCAAACCCAACACCGCCGAACCCTCAGCCCGAAGCCTTTAACCCTATATAACCCCCGCCAAGCCCTAAAACCCCAAACGTCCAGCCCTACACTCTACAAACCCTACAGACCATATAAACTTAATGATTCCTAGCCCTAAACCCTAAAGCCTTAAACCGTATAAGCCTATGAATTGGGATGTTCCCCCTTATACTAACAGTCCTCCATAGGGATTAAAGCAAGGGGTACTATGATCCCTAGTAATTATGGACTGTTAGTATATTGGGAACATCCCAACCTCTGAACCCTAAACCCTAAACCCTAAATCCTATAAAGCCTCTGAACCGACACACCAAGGCCGCCACGCCGCGCCTTATTGACGAGGAGGTTGGTCCGAGCTTCCGTGTGGCCGAGGACGCTTCCACAGTGGGCTCGGGGTCTAGGACAGATTCGTGAATGTATATATATATATATTTATTATAATTATTTATTTATATACTTATATATATATATATATACATAACACAATAGTAGATGTACACAAACCTAGGATCTCGGGGTTTTGGGGGG